TGCTGCTGAATGTGCTACTAATATTGTTGGCAGTGGTGGACAACGATGTGACTGTATTAACATTAATATTCTTGCTGTTGCTGTTGTTGTTGTTGGCATTGRCAGCGACAATAGCCTCCGCACAATCGGCGGTGGCATAATTGTTATTAGCCTCATTGCCCAATTCGTAAATGTTGACCATGTGCGCAGCYTGTGCGTGCACCATCAGATCCCAAGGATTGGCGAAGGCATCCTTGCAAACGGCACATAACAGTTTGGCGCTCATCGGCGGTGTTTCTGCGGAACATATGAGAGAGTTACAAGTAGTGAAATTAGTTTGTTTTTGYAGAGATTAAAAAAAATATATATTTATGAAACTTTATGAAGAAAACTTAGAAACCTCAAAGCGTAAATTAAAATTTATGAGTATTTAAGATTAATAATGTTATCGAAGATGGAACACACTAATCACCACTGATGCATTATTTTTCGTGTTCTACGTTTCTAGTAACTCTGTCTTTTCTATAATAATAATGGGTGCGAAATTTTTATATAAATTATCTTTTTCGATTTTAGGTTAAAGATTAAAAGAACATAATGCAATTTTGAATCGATATTTTCAATAGTTTTTGAGTTACAGTTTACAAGGGTTCAGTTTATCTCTTAACGCGTCTTTCTTGATAGAGTATTTTTGAAATTTGCTTGAATGATTATTTGGAGTCACTATCACCTTTTTCTGCGAGTTCTGTATACCCTACCAAGAGCAAAAAAATAGCAAGACTTTGTTTATAATTTTAAAATGCTCAATTTATTCTTCAAAATCTGGGTCGAYTCCTCACAGTAAACTTCTTTGGCCCAAAACAGTTGTGACAATTTTTTTCCAATCTTCGAAACAGTTKTTAAAAGTCCAYTTCTGGCATAGCCTACAATGCGGTTTCCCCARAGCGGTCGTTTRAGTTTRCTGAATAACCARAAGTCACACAGAACTAAATCAGGCGATGGTTGTGACACSATATTGGCTGAAAATTTGGCGAAAACCTTACGAAGAATCTGTGCACTATGCGGCGGTGGATTATCCTGGTGAAAAAATCAAGAGGTTTCGACCCTCTTTTTATGAATAGCTTCGCGCAAACAACTCATATCTCGACGCGATTTTTCGAAAAAATTTAGTGATTTTGGAACCAATCGTGCTTTCACTTTTCTTATTCCCAAATTATCTTTCAAAATGATTTTCACTGATCCTTCCGATATTCAACGATGCCAGTAAGTTCTCTCACTGTTAATAGTCGATTCCCAAGCACCAATTTCATTATTTTATTGACGTTCTTTAAACAATTTGTACCTATGAAAAGTACTTTCACGCGACAAAAAATTATAACCTTTTCCAAATTTCCAACGTTTTAGCACCAGAAATTTAAATACAAAGCAAAATTTAGTAGAGTATAGTAGAGAGTAGAGTGGAGAAACCTAGAAAACCTAGAAAAAATATTCGTGCGTGATTTAAATTAAGAAGCCATACTATTTAATGCCCTCCGTAGTAGCTTTTCATACAGTGGTTGCTCACTGATTGATGTGGGCAAAAATCGAAATTTGGCAGGACAAAAATTACATTAAAATTTCTCTTAGATTTCATCCACAAAGAAAACGTGTAACTCGAAAAAGGTTAGTTTTTTTTTTTGAATTTTTTTTTTAATTCCTAAAATGTGCCAACGCATGCTTAAAGTTTTAAAATATTAATATTTTCAAAAATTGCCATTTAATTGCCACAATAGATATTGAACTTAAAGACCTCAGCTGAGATCTGAACCCATGGCGTGCTAGTCAAGCCTTCAACCTTTTCGCTATCGATGTTTATTGGCTATTTATAGCATACATCTCAARTAATTGTTGGTAGAAAATATTGAAAGTTGTTCGTGAAACAAGAAAGCAGAYAAAGTCCAGAAATCAAAGAACTCTCTCAGTAAATACCGTTAAAATRCATTTGTACCGCGTATTTAGAAACGAGGAAAACTTAAGAAAAATGTTCTGCTGAAAATAGGGCTATATTTGACAATTATATCATTAAAAAMAATATTTTTATTCTGAAAATGTTTTAATTTTTTTTTAGCCTAATTAAGAAAAAAATTCTAAATATATTAAACAATGTTCCTAGAAATTATGCTACTAATAAAATAAAAAAGAAAATTTTCCTTTGCATACAAATATCCAGAAATCAATTTTAGTCCGAAAAGTGTTTGGTAAAACAACTGTCGCTTTAGAGTTATTCAAAATAATTTATCATTCTTAAAACGATTTATAATTTTCTATGATTTTAACACTCCTATAAAATTTTTTGTAAAATTGTTTAAAGTTTGCTTCACTTTCACTCTCTAACATTCATTTAGKCTTCTCCTTGAGACAGTAATAGAGCAACAGCTGTTGCCAACTTTCACACAAATTGGAAAATAATCCTTTCTGCCAGCAGACAGYGCAAACAAATCGCCATAAATTCTTCCACTTTTGTCTACTAAAAACTGGCATAGCAAGCATTTCGAAAGTTTTAAATGGTGTCCGATGGAAGGCCTAAAACTCGGCTACAAATTTAGTAAACGAGTTAATGTAAGAAAGCTTATGACCCGGTAGGAAATTTCTACTAATTGTTTGACTTCGTAAAACGTACAATACTTGTAGGCTTATTATAACTGCTAGAAAATGTAAAATTTATTAAGCATTTTTTCTCAAATCTACAAAACTAGAGGAGTATTGCAAAGCGAAGGCTTTTCATATTCAGTTCAGTCAATCAAAGTATGTTCGAATTCGAAGTTGCAAATTTTAATTTGCCCAAGCTTCAGYAAAAGTCAAAAGTGTTATAGTTATCAATAGTTAATTTATAGTATGCAGACTGGCTACAAAATAAATTGACCTATCATTAGGGTGATTCTATGTAGTAAAATTTTTTGTACAAGAATTAAGGGTAATTCGTTTCAAGGTCTTTTCTTCAATAACAAAATAAATTTAATAAGTAAGAAAAAAATTTGGACCACCCTAGTGTAATTGTGAAACTCCTTTTTCTTAGTATAAACTGGGAGAATTAATTATTGTTAATTAATCCTAGCTAATTTTCTTAAAAAAGAAAAAATTTCAATTTAGTACCACCCTTATGCACTCACATGTCGAATATGTGCAACGAAATATGGCTGCCAGCCAAACATGTGCAAACAAGTGTCGACTGACACGTTGGCAAAAGTGTTAAACAATAATAAATTAATTACAAACAACAGTAGGAGCTAACGGTGGCAAGAATAGCAACAACTACAACAGCAAAAACAAATACAAATTACTACGCAATTTCAGCAGAAATTTCAGTAAGATGCGAAACAAGTGTTGCAATAACAATTTGCATGAAGTGGCATGCAACGGCAGCACGCTGTGCCGCATACACACATAGATGCAAGTGTGTCTTTGGATATTTTAAGAGCTGGCAGTCAATGCTGTTGCTGTGCTCTGTCGGTGTGGGTGCAWTAACAATGTGGCAATAAAACACCAGCCTTTGGCTGCGTGCAGACACCATACCATACTTACTTGCAGCAAAGGCAACATCCTGGCACTTGCAAGTGAAACGCAACTTGCAATAACTCCGCTTGTGGTCTAATAATTCAGCCAGCTCGTTGAAGCATTCCCGACAATTGCCGCAAATTAATGTGTCCGGATTGCCTGGAAAAAATAAGTTGTTTTTTTTTTATGTAATATGTTTTTTAAGTATGTAGTATATGTATATATTTGTATTTCACAACTAAAGTCGTTCTGAACGTAATTCGCTTTAACACTCCCAACGTGAACTTTTTTCCATAATTTGTCATGAGAGATATATACTACAACTATAACCGATTTATGTTCACTTTGTCCGTCTGAAAGTTTCCCGCTTTGAAAAATGATATGGATACAATTCTTCAAGATCACTCTGTAGAGAAGCCTTTTCAAGTAACATACATATGCGTTGAAGAGATTATTTCCTGTTCTTTTGGGTCCGTGGACTTAATAGCATTTAGGATATCAAATTAGGCCATTAATATGGCATATAAGTAAATTTATCATACATCATTTTTCAGAATTTATTTATCTCATGTAATTTATTACTCTTGTGATTGATGAAAAATTTGCCAAGACTCTACCTACACTCGTAGGAACTAYTTTTTTTCTCATGACATTTTTTATAGTATGCTATTTATTACTCTTGCGTTCCATAAACAATTTCATAAAACTATGCTATCCGTGGAAAATTTAATCGTTTACTTAATATTTTATCTCATGTTATTTATTCCTACAAAAAATTTTATCGCAACATAATTCTTTATCTCATCCTTTTATTATCTATTGAATACTGGATATACGGAAGTTTTAGCAGCTTTATACCTACATTCATAAGATCGTATCAGAGTCCGTTGTGGTTTTACGTGAGTTCCTGCCTGCGAAGGCCTAACCCCACGGTGCTTTCTATTGCTAGAAGCA